ACCGGTCTGGCCGATTTTAGAGTTTTCATCGTTTTCTTATTTTTTATGTGTTTCTGCATCAGTTTCTTTGTTTTCTTTTTCTGTTTTTTTGTCTTTCTCCAACATTTTTCTTCAGTTTTCCAGTTTTCTTTTTTTTCTTTTATAAGACATGTCTAGTGTTTTAATACATATTGTACATTTTTCTTATACACATTAAACGTTTTTTATACACAACGAGCATTTTCAAATACGTGATGTATAATATTCAAATGTATATTTGATTTTTTTAATACATGTGAAACGTTCTTCTAATACACATTGAACATTTTTTACGATGCAAAACATTTAAAAATATGTTATGCAATGTTTTTTTACGTTGTATAAAGATTTCTAGAAAAAATATGAATATATTTTTGAAACGCATGAATAGGTTTTCCAAATGTCATGAACATGTTTCTGAGTGATATTTTTTTGTATTAAAAAAATTATACATTGTATAAACATTTTATGAAAATGGCTTGGACATTTTTTGAAACACGTGATTGTTTTCTAAATTTCATGAATACTTTTATTTTTATTCGACGGATTTTTTTAAATTATGCAAACATTTATTTTCATTGCATAAACATTTTATGGAAATGAACATTGTTCTGAAACACGTGATTTTTTTTGAATTTCACAAATATTTTCCAAATGCTATTGACATTTTTTAAAAGTAGCACAATGATTTTTTTTACACTAGATGCATATTTTTTAATCGGAAAAGCTAAAATCCTGCCGGCAGGATTTTTGCAACATATCCGAACGACTCGGTTGCCGTTAGATTCGGATCTACACACCGGTCCGGACCGATTTTAGAGTTTTCATGCATCGTTTTCTTAATTTTTTATGTATTTCTGCATCAGTTTCTTTGTTTTCTTTTTCTGTTTTTTTGTCTTTCTCCAACAATTTTCTTCAGTTTTCCAGTTTTCCTTTTTCTTTTTTTTTCTTTTATAAGACATGTCTAGTGTTTTAATACATATTGTACATTTTTCTTATACACATTAAACGTTTTTTTATACACAACGAGCATTTTCAAATACATGATGTATAATATTCAAATGTATATTTGATTTTTTTAATACATGTGAAACGTTCTTCTAATACACATTGAATATTTTTTACGATGCAAAACATTAAAAAATATGTTATGCAATGTTTTTTTACGTTGTATAAAGATTTCTAGAAAAAATATGAATATATTTTTGAAACGCATGAATAGGTTTTCCAAATGTCATGAACATGTTTCTGAGTGATATTTTTTTGTATTAAAAAAATTATACATTGTATAAACATTTTATAAAAATGGCTTGGACATTTTTTGAAACACGTGATTGTTTTCTAAATTTCATGAATACTTTTATTTTTATTCGACGGATTTTTTTAAATTATGCAAACATTTATTTTCATTGCATAAACATTTTATGGAAATGAACATTGTTCTGAAACACGTGATTTTTCTTGAATTTCACAAATATTTTCCAAATGCTATTGACATTTTTTAAAAGTAGCACAATGGTTTTTTTTACACTAGATGCATATTTTTTTAATCGGAAAAGCTAAAATCCTGCCGGCAGGATTTTTGCAACTTATCCGAACGACTCGGTTGCCGTTAGATTCGGATCTAACGCATCACCCGCACGTCCTGAAACACGTGATTTTTCTTGATTTTTCTTGAATTTCACAAATATTTTCCAAATGCTATTGACATTTTTTAAAAGTAGCACAATGGTTTTTTTTACACTAGATGCATATTTTTTTAATCGGAAAAGCTAAAATCCTGCCGGCAGGATTTTTGCAACTTATCCGAACGACTCGGTTGCCGTTAGATTCGGATCTAACGCATCACCCGCACGTCCTGAAACACGTGATTTTTCTTGAATTTCACAAATATTTTCCAAATGCTATTGACATTTTTTAAAAGTAGCACAATGGTTTTTTTT